AGAATATCAGGATGGGAGCACAGTCTGCCAGGGACCTCACCGAACAAGCTCACCGAACAAGGATTGTGATTGTGATTCAAATTGGGGAGGAATAGATTGCACAGAGCCCGTTTGTGCAAATGGAGTTAGAGATATGTCGATTTGTCGATGCCCGGTTGATTTTTATGGATTGAGATGTGAACAAAGTAGTTTTATCGGGCTGGGAAAACAAATTACAAGACATTTAAATTTTCCAGGCTTTGGGTTAACATCTACAACGACAGCCGGTCCTAGTACCTCTGCAGCTTCTACATCTAGCTCCACACAGCCTGCATCCTCCTCCAGCCCATCACAGACAACAAATTCGGCATCTTCCTCCAGCCCATCACAGACCACGACGTCTTCAGTTCTGTCTACAACAAGTACACCTGCTCAACAAGAAGTCCGTGCTGTTGCATTTATCATTGATATGCTTGGAAACGATGACTATGCATTCAATCAAACATTTGTGAGTTAAATCTTACTAAAATTCTTGACACTTTTCAATTTTTTATCTCAGATGTCCATGGCTCAATACTACAAACTGTTCAAGTACACACATTACGTCATGATCATTGGAAATTTGAATGTGGCGAATGAACATTCCAGCAATATTACATTCCAGCAATATCCGAATGAAACATCAATTTTGGCCAAGAATGATATTTTCTTCTCTTATAGAAGTACCGAGACTGGAGGATCGAATGTTTCTCTGTAAGTTGAATTATAGTGCTGCAAAAAAGCAGCCGTTAATTTTTCAGAGCTCTTACTAAGATTCAACAATCCTATGCCGACACGAAAACTAAAATCCAATCACCAGTCAGTCTCAATATTTTCTATCTTACTCAAATCGGGTTTGTCTATGCAGAAAGATGTGAAATTATGGAACATTTTCTTATTCAGACTAAAAGATGATGACGATGTGATTACTGCATTTGCTGGGCTGGAAGATTTCCAAAAAGCGTAAACTATCCGAATTTCATGAAACTCTAATATTGTGTTTTTTTCAGATCCATCGTTTACTCACCATTTGCGAAAGATGCAGATCCAGCAGTTCCGGGCAACCTGACACGTTTCAGTCCAAACATTACTAGCACTAGAGATTATTACGGAGGACTGGTTGCAATGAAAAATGAAACATCAGCCAATGCTCATGTGGTTCTTCCGGATAAGCGTAAGAAAATGATAAAACAGATTTAATCATTAGAATTGTCATTTTGTAGCACCAACTGCTAGCTGTGTTTACTCGTTGCAAAGTAACGTGAGAGTAGCTATCGATCGTTCGTTGCCAAGTTCCGCTGATATTGAAACTGCTGTAAGATAATTTTTTTAATGATTTCTCTATTTTGTTATTTTTCAGTTGAGCTCGTTCCTGAGTAAATTCAAAGTGGGATTCAATTTCATTGAAAATGATGAAGCTCGGTGTGCCAGCGAAGATCCATTGCCAAAGTTTTATAACGGTGAGTTTTATTTTTATAGCTACTGAAAGTTCTGGATGTTATACAAATTTGAAACTCGTATTTTGAGAAATAACTGAACGGGTCAAAATTGAAAATGAAATTTATCGAACTTTTCAAATAACTATACTATTTTGAAGGAAGAACCGCTATGACTGCTTTTCCATACTACGACACATATGTGCAAAGCTCAAAGTTCTGTCCATCGCAATA